GGAGCCCCCAAAAGCTGCCCACTGCACCACCTGGTGGTGGATGGGCTAAATGCAGAGACTAATTTCGCCATTGTATGGAAACATACAGTGCTGACATTGTGATGACATTATTATTATTATTATTTATATAAACAAGGTAAAGGGCCAGCCCAAGACACAAGCAGGCTAAGTGGCTGCTTAGGGCCCCAGGGCCACTAGGGGCACCCTAAGTGGAATCATTTTTTTTTTTTTTTTTAGTAATGATTTCTATATGATTGACACAGTTTTATCTGCAGAGGAGCTTTTCCAATCTCAAACTAATAAAGAACTATTTGAGATCTTCCATGTGTAACCAGGTGGTTTATTAGTTTCAAAATAGTGTTTATGTAGAAGTGGCTATACATTCTCACCCGTGTTGGGCCCATATATGAAAGCACCTATGCCCCATTTCCCCACCTCCACTTTCAGTTTGCAGTGTTGCCTGGCTCATTAGTATACAGTATAGGCACCGGGTGTGCTCCGAGTCAAAGTCCGGGTCCCCCACCCCGTGTCACACATAGCACAAGAACGACTGAGTGGACTGGCAGTGATTAGTATTAACAACAAAGTTGGCCGTCAGATTTCTTACAGTGATGTCATAAATTACTTTGCGTCCAGAAAAGCTCGGAAGCACAGGTTTTAGGAAGTTTGTGAAGTATTGAGGAAGAAGAAACAAATGGGTCAAATGTGTGGGTAAAGGTCGTTTAATATTTTAAGTTCAGCTTTTGCAAATTGTTGCATACACTTACATAGTTTTAAGAACTAATTATTAAACTTTAAATGTCTTTTTTTAAATAAAAAAAACAATAAAATTTTACATGGTTTTAAATTAATTGTTCATTTACATTATTTATTTCCTTGATATTTTATTTTTGTCTGTTTTTTGCACAATTTAATTAATTTTTATGCATCCAAGTTATTTTGTCTGTTGTTTGTTGTTCATCTTGCACTACAAATTATTTTGAACATTACTGTTGCAGTTCTTTGGAACCAAAGATAATAAACCAGATGACACGATGGCTGTAAAATACATTGCATACTAGTGTTTTTTTTTTCTTTTGTTACTTTTAGTACCACTACACATATAGGATAATGTAAACAGGGTTGTCAGAGTTGCAAGGAGTTTATGTTAGGTGAGCGAATGACCTGATCTTCGGACTTTTGATTGCAGTAATCTACATTATTTGCAGAAATAGAGGGCCCAAAACCAAATTTTGCTTATGGCTCCATGGAGGCTTAGGCCGGCCTGGCATTCCAGCTCTCACTAAATTCTACTGCTTCAGTCAAATACTTTTCATGGCCTCAAAACTCTGACATCATGACAACTTTTGTCATTGCTATTGTACTTTGAACTGAAGTTTATGACAATATTTCAGGTTAAAAATGACTGTTTGCAGTAAGAAAACTTTTCAGGGAAGTTCAAGATAAAGTGACTTAAAAAAGACTTGACAAAAAGAAAGAATATGATTTTATTTTTGATTCATTGAGCATACAGTCGTAGACACTTTAGTTTCAGGGCACGGTGTCAGTATGGTTCAATAAATAAAGTTGAAAAAGGAAAGAGTGGAATGGATGTTTGCTACAGCTGCGATAGTTGCACAATCATTTGCACAGTCAAAGTTAAACATCTGTAAAGGCTTTTCTGAGACACCAAGCTCCACACAGTGAGGATCTAAAAGCCATTTGACGAATTTGTGTGCATTTTTACAAAATGTATTTTAGGCAGCACAGTAAAATAAATTAAACAACGCGAGTACAACCAGTAAGGCATCAGGCGATGCAGAATAAATATTGGACGTGCACACCCCATCACTGACATTTCAAGGCTAGTTTATATCCGAGGTAGAAAATGTCAATGTTAAAACAAAAACTTATGTTGTTCAGAATATTTTAAGCAAACATAGATTAACTCTAAAAATGATTAATATTTTTTTTTCATCCAAACTTGTTCTTTTCTGAGCGACTTAATTTACAAGGAGCCAAAATGTGTGTAAAAGTCCCCAAAACTGATTAAACACCAAACATTCTTACATGTTTCCACAAAAGTTTCCACAGCGTAGAGAAGCACTTGTTATTAAGGCAAGAACTCTGATGAAGACTAGATCTGAATGCAGATGGCAGGCGGGGGCTACAGACGTCACCAGAACCAGCCTGGATCACAGTAGAGGCTGTGCAGGTTGAGATGGGTGCGATCTGCTGATCTGCAGTCACCACAGAGCAGGAAAATCGATGTGAGCGAAGCCGGGTTCCTTCCTCAGCTCCCAGTAAGTGTCGTTGCTCACCCAGGCCTCCTCCTTTGACTTCCTGTGGAGGAAAAAACAGCAAATACAACGAGTTGCAACAAAATGACAGGTGGTGATGAACAACGGGAAGTGGGCTCAGTAAACATGTGGCAGCCTCTTGGTTCTTTACAGTTGCTAAACGTTTTTCTGCTTTTATATTTTTCTGTGCAGAACCTGCCAGAAGTTTTTTTTCCCATTGAAGGGGAGTTGATCCATTCTACTGTCACCTTTGTACTCGCTCTGAATCGGACCAAAGTGAGGTTTTGAAGCAATCTGCTGGCTTTTTTTAGACTTTTTTTTTTTTTTTACTAATTGGCATTTTGTGAAATACTGTTTCTGACTATTTGATACAACAACTGGATTGCGTTGACTGAATTTATGATGTGAACTTGTTACTCATTTATATTGGGACATTTCAGTGTTCATCCCAATACATCAGCTGTAATCTTTAGATCAACTTAAAAAAAAAAAAATTCCCACAGAAAGCTGCTGCCTTCTCCGACTGCAAATGTGAACAAAACTGGTTTAAGAACAGAGCCTTGTGGGACCCCACAAGGTAAGAAGGTTTGATTTCATCAACATAAATCTATGTTTTCCTGTTAAACAGATATGATTCATTTAAACACAACTCCTTGGGAAAATCACAGGAATGGATGGTTTCAAATATCTTCAAGATTATATTTTTGTCACTGTAAATAACTATATTTTTCATTAGTGTGGGTGGTTGCATGTCTGTCAAGCATCACAGTTCTCTGCTGACTTTATCTAGGTGGAGAATAAAGCCTCCCCCACTTTAGAACTTTGGAGACCTATCACTTTAAAACACCAGCCGCATCTCACAGGTCTAGAATTCTCTCAACCTCATCGTTTGCTTTTCTCTCAAATGCATCAACTGTGAGACTTTATGTGAAAATGAGTGCCGTTCAATTATGTTCACTGAAATCAGTTGAGCTTAGGCTGACCCCAGGTCAGCTGTAGAAGCAAGGAACTCTGACAAACACTGAAAGATGGAGGTACATTAACTCTAAAAGCCTGTTCTATGTCATATAAGCTTCGCCCTTTAAGGCCTTCGCTTTAGTGGGTTTATCCCGTTATGCAGAGCATAAGCACTGAAAAAAAATTAGTCCACGCCCACCCGCTGTGTGGGCCCTACCCGGTCCGTATAAATTACGTTAAGAGCGGGAAATCGGCTCCCATTTTTTCTTCAGCGAGCTAATATAGCACTGTCAGAAGAACAAAGAAGATAAGTTGTGTAAATGACCAACCTTGTGAAGGATGCTGGGCCCGGCAGTCGACCTCCGGTCGTCCGGTGAGTTCTCCTCCCCGAGGAGAAGATGACAGCAGTCTTATTCCAAGGTAAGCGTCGTGGAACATTTCCCAGTGACAGGTCACTACACGCTGGACAACGCCATCTTGTGTTTTTTCCTCTTATCGCCGACCCTCGGGGCGAACCGGATGGTTCCTCCGGGGCAAGGTGTGCTCAGCTGCAGCCCCCGCTGCTCATTCCCTCCCGGGGAGCGTAGTGTAGGTGGAGGGGGGCTGAGTGAATGCTCACCCCATCCCACCTCGTTTTCGCATCGGCGATCACACCGCTCCCGGCCGACAGCGCCCTCAGGGGTTGCCCGGCGGAACCCGGGAGGAGGCTGACATGAAGGGACCCCCTTTTTCTACGTCCCTCGCCTTTTCCCGCCAGTTCGGATGATCGGCGGAAAGGTTATTTTTCACTGACGTGTTTTTCCAGGCAGCCGCAGTTAGCAACAACGTGCGCTGCTAGCATATAGCATGTCCAAGGGACTGAAGGCCGCAGACCTGCCTTGGAGACAAAGAACTCCTTCTGTAAGGCAACTGACGCTATTCCTCGGTTCCCTCCCCTGGAGCCAAGCCTCGCGGAAGCTTCCGGAGCGAAGCTGTCCAGGTCGGAGCAGCGTCCCGTCCCTCCGGAGGAACCAGACGGCGACCAAAGCTCTCCAATCGAGCCCACCGACGTGTTTTCAGGCAACCGCAGTTAGCAACAACATGCGCTGCTAGCATTTAGCATGTCGAAAAGGCTGAGACCTCAGACCTGCCGGAGGAGACTAAGAGCTCCCTGTGTAGATCGGCAGACGCCATCCTCAACATGTGCGCCGCTCCCTCGGGTTGCCTGTCGAGGATTGTAGCATGGATGACGGTAATCCAACGTTCCATCTGGCTCCGTCACTCTCCATTGCTGCCGGAAAAGCTGCACAAAGACCGGATGGAGGGCCCCATCTCATCGGACGCGCTGTTCGGAAGCAGCTTGACGTCCATGCTGACGAATTCGAAGCAGTCGGAGGAGACGTCGGAAGCTGTACGCCATCTCATCTAGCCGCGCGGCTCATTCCGTCCTCCAGCCCGCTGGAGAGATCGTCAAAAGCAGAGGCAGAGACATCGACGCTCCACGGCAGCAGCAGCTTCGTCTCGCCCAGCTCCACCACCAGCCCCGCCCGCCAGAGACCACCCCTCCTCAGTCCGGCAGCCTGCACTTCAGCGTTTTCCCCAGAGATCGCCTGCAGACGGCGCTCGGAGCAAACAAACCGCAGAGCTCACGGGGGAGAAGTTTTAAGAAATGACGGTCTGCGGAGGATGTGTGTATAAATGACACAGGAATTGAATAAATGATTTTTCAAAGATCAAAACGCCTGTTTTTAGCCAGTCTGTAAGCTCGGATGAGCTCACAGCCGCTACACACCCTCCACTCATAAAGAGCCGGTGTCCTTAAATAAAGGTTTTTTAAATCCACCGCCGCTCCCTCACATGCCCAGACGCTCACGTGACACCACGGTAAGCGAAATAACTTGTTGTCAATCAGGCCCGCACGATCACCTCCCAACGGTGTTTACGCGCTCCCGAGCGAGACAAGCAGCCTCCATCCAACGGCACTGTGTCGATGATGCACGCACAGCTGCCCGGCGCTCACCGGCCCACATCGGGATAAATGTGGGACCGCAGGCCGGGTCCGGTGGAGGTCCCTGCTCTCAGCGAAAACAACACACGCCTCTCCTGTATGAACGCGAGTGGCCGTCATCCACCGCGTCCCAGCGATCAGCAGCTCACGGCGGCATAAGCGTGAGACAGCTGAATGAATCCAATGACGGGCCCCGCCCTCAGCGAGAGCGGCGCGCGTCCCTCCAGAGGAAACGTGCGCTCCCGCGAGGCTCACAACCTTCACTTCATCAGCTGACACACGCCTCGCCTCAGCACACACCGCCCCGCCCGGACATGAAGGTTGGTCCGCGATCCAGTCACAGCGCGCGGGCGCGCGCAGAACAGCCCTTTCGAGAAAGCCTCGCCTTGGGTCACGCGGAAAACATTTCCGCGACGCATGACGGCGGTCGAGGCGGAGGTTTGGATGACATCCGTTCAAAACACGGCACATCATTTAAACGCACGTCCACTCCACGAACGTCACGCAGAGTGGTTAAAAACATGCTCACCGGACAGATGGAGGGACAGAGTGTTATGCAAGGGTTACACGCTGCAGTTTGCAACCCGACCCCCTCCGTTCGGAGGAGTTATAGAGACGGTCCTGTCATCACCAGACCAAGTCTCAGCCTTAAATGCAGAAATCCAAGAGCTTCTGATAAAAGGTGTAATCTCAAGAGTTCCCAACGAGGAGGAAAACACAGGGTTTTACTCAAGCTACTTCCTGGTCCCCGAAAGGACCGGAGGGATGAGACCGATTCTGGATCTGTCAGCTTTCATCAAAGCGATCATGAACAGATTTTTTCACATGTTGATGAACAGACAGCTGTTGGACAACATCCAGGAAAACGACTGGTTTGTCTCCATCGTTTTAAAAGATGCCTATTTTCACACACCAATCATCCCAAAACACAGAAAATTTCTGCGTTTCGCCTTTCAAGGGATGAAGTACCAGTACAACAGGTTGCCTTTTTTGGGTACTCCCTCGCGCCTCGTACGTTCTCAAGTGTGTGGAGACAGCCCTGCATCCACTGCACAAGCAGGGATGAGGGTTTTGTTTTTACCTGGACGACCTGCTGCCCCTGTCTCACTCCAGACAGGAAGCATTGATACAGGCTCAGGTGTTAGCATCACACCTGCTAAATCTGGTTTTCGCCATACTGGAAGAAAAGCTCGATTTTCCCGGCCCAGATAATTGTTATCTGGGAGTGGAATTAAACTCAATTACCATGACGGCTCGTTTATCACAAACAAGAATCGACACTCTAAAAACCAATTACGCCACGTAAGACCTGGCAAAGTGGTAACAGCTGTCTCCGTCATGAAGCTGTTGGGAATGACGTCATCAGCTCACACAGTGGTCCCGCTGGGTTTGTTACACATGAGGCGCCTCCAGAGGTGGTTTACGCGTCTGCGTGTGGATCCAGTAAAACAAAAGAGACGGATGATCACTGTCCCTCCCTCCATGGGAGCAGACCTCCGACACTGGGGAAACACCCTGGCTCTGTCAGAGGGAGTCCCCGTCAGCAGATCCACGTCACGTGTCAGTCTTCACGGACGCGTCTCTGTCAGGTTGGGGTGGGGAACATGCCTATCTCAAGCAGTAGGGGCGCTGTGGCCCCACCGCACATCAGCCCACATCAATGTTTTGGAGTGTCGCACAGTGCTGAATGTGATTCAACTTTTTGCTCCCGTGCTACAGAATCAACACGTGTTGATTCACACAGACAACATGGTGACTGCTGCGTACATAAACCGCCAGGGGGGTGTGCGTTCAGCCCAGATGTTACACATTGCGCGGAAGCTACTGAGTTGGGTTCATCAAACCTGCTTTTATTAGAGCAGTTTACATATCCGATGTTCTGAACAGAGGGGCTGATGTGACGTCCAAGGGCGGCCCACGTTATGTGGACCGGATCCTCCATCCGGATCTGATGTTTTTCAGACGCAGCAGAAGTTGGCAAAGCAGCTGTGGACCTGTTTGCGATGCGAGAAGAACGCTCAATGTCAACTACGGTTTTCCCTGAGCCCGCGAGACGATCCATCGCTGGGGGGGGACGCATTTGCTCACAGTCGGTGGCCCAAAACGCTTTTTACGCGTTTCTTTCCCCCCCACCTCCTCTGTTTTTTACGGTCCATGAACCGAGTTCAAGAGGAGGGATTGACAGCCCTCCTTGGTGGCTCCCGGCGTGTGAACGCACTATGGTTCCCAGGCCTGCAACGTCTGTTGTTGGGTCGCCGTGGAACTGTCATGGAGGAAGGATGCTCTCCTTCAGGCAGGAGGAGCGACCAAGAGTTACCCAGAAATAGGTCAACACCGGTGGGTCTGACCGCTGAGCGGTTCCACTTAGAGGATGGGTCTCCCTCAGGAGATAGTGTGCACAATTCAAGATTCACGTGCTGCATCTACCACAGTTCTGTACACATCAAGGGGACGGCTTTTCAGCGCTGGTGCACAGAGAAGGTTTAGAGACCACCTCATGCCTTTTAAGCGGCGTGTTGTTTTTCTACAACAGCTGATGGATAGGGAGTTGGCTTTCAGTACGCTTTAACGTACGATTGCAGCCATCTCTTCCTGCCACAAAGGGTTTGGAGTCAGAACAGCTTTTATCACCCGCTGATGAAGCGGTTTCTAAAAGGTGTACAGAGATGTAGGCCTGTTTTCACGCCCACTTGTTTTCCACAGTGGGTTTAACGCTGGTCCTGCGAGCCCTGATCAAAGCTTCAATTGAGCCTCTGGATCAGGTTTCATTTAAATTCTTGTCTCTTTTAACAGCCCTGTTGCTGGTTTTAACACCCGCTAAGAGGGTAAGTAATTATCTGCCCTCTCTGTTGCTTCGTCATGCCTTAGAATTAGGCTGACGGGCAGCTCAGCTGATTTAAGACCAACCCAGCTTTTATGCCTAAAACATCACGAGCTCTTTTAAATCAAGAGTGATATCGTTGGAGGGGTTTTTTCCCCCCCACAGATCAGAAGAGGAAGCATCTTTTCATCTTCTCTGCCCGGTGCGGGCGTTTGACGTGTTACATAACGCACACAGCTGCAATGCGTTTCAAACTCAACAATGGTTTGTGCATTATAGAGATGTTTCTACAGGTCGCCGTTATCCATCCAGCGCTTATCACACTGGCTGTGTGAGGCCTTTTCTGAAGCCTACAGAGCATCAGATTTAGAGCCTCCTGTCAACCTCTAAGCACACTCGACCAGGGGTATCGCATCTTCGACTGCTCTGCATAATGGTTTGTCAATGCAGGACATTTGCACTGCGGCTGCATGGTCAACACCCTGCTCATTTATTCGCTTTTACCTACGTGATGTAACGGCTCGTTCCATGACACATTCTGTCCTTAGTGCTCTAACAGAATGAATATTGTTGTTCTCATGGAACTCTGTTTAAGCTCACTTCTGTCTGCATGCATTACAGTGTGAGATGTTGTTATCAGTCACAAGTCGTGTCTGTGATTTTGGTTATATTGTCACTAATCAGTTCATGATTATTGTTACCAATCAGTTCAATTGATTTATAATCAATTTATGGACATTAATCTGTTTATACTGTTCAGCCATGAACCAGTTGGTTCATGCCCCCCC